TCTATCTAGTCAGAAGAATCTGTCTCCACCCAAACCTGAGTAGTTTATAAAATCAAGTTAGGCTTGGTTCAGGTTTGACCGGGACAAGAAGATTCAACGCAATCTCATTACCAGTAATGTCCTTTTTTTTTTTGCTCTTTGGTGAGGCAATTGGGGTTAAGTGACTTGCCCAGGGTCACACAGCTAGCAAGCGTCAAGTGTCTGAGGCCAGACAGGTCCTCCTGACTCCAAGGCTGGAACTGTATCCACTGTGCCACCTAGCTGCCCCTCAATAATGTCCTTCTGAAAAACTTTGGAGCAGAAGGCTGGGCGTGGGGGTAGGTGGAGCTCTGAGTCTCCAAGATAGAAAAAAATCATTTTTCACATATGTCAGAAGTGAAACTTGAACTCAGGACTTTCCAGCTGATACAGAAAGATTAAACTGAAAGACATGTGAAGGAGAGATTAGAAAGGAAGAGAGTAGAATTGGGGAGACCAGTTAGTTAGGAAGCTATTGTACTAGAGGTGAGAATAATAGTAATGGGCATTTATATAGTCTTAAGATACCTCTCTACTCACTAAATTCCAGTGGCTCCCTATAGTCTCAGGCGCAAATACAAAAGGCTCTTTGGCATTCAAAGCCCTTAACCTAGCCCCTGCCTACCTTTCCAATTATGTATTACTTCCCACTGAGCACTTTTCCTTCTAGTGACATTGGCCTCCTGGCATGGAACAAGACACTCCATCTTTCAGCTCCGGTCATTTTCTCTGGCTGTCCCCCATGCCCAGAATGGTCTCCCTCCCCTACTCCAACTACTGACCTCACCAACTTCCTTTAAGTCCCAACAAAAATTCTACTTCCTACAGGAAGCCTTCCCCTTTCCCCCTGTTAGTTACTTCCTATTTATCCTGTATATAGTTTGCTTATATATATTTATTTGCATGTTGTCTTCCCTATTAGATTGTAAGCTCCTTGAGGACAGGAGCAGTCTTTTGCCTCTTTTTGTATCCCCAGCACTTAGCACAGTGCTTGACACACAGTAGGCACTTAATGTTTACTGAATTTACAAATATTGTATCTCATTTTAGTCTTATAATAACCCTTGGGAGGCAGGTACTATTATTATCCCCACTTTACAAATGAGAAAACTGAGGCAGACAATGGTTAAATGACTGGCCTAAGTATTGAGGTCTAGGGGTGCTGGGAACCCCAAAATTCAAGGGTAAAAGACTCAAGTCCTGCCTCTGATGAATTCGACTCAAGCCTTCTTTCAGTTGGAGACCACATTTATTTTTTCACCAATAAAAGGCAGGCCACACTCTTAAGAAATCTGAGCATCTTAATGGAGGCAAGATGGACCTTTTATATAGTAAGACTGGGAAGATCTGGATGGGGTCTCTCACACTTCTAAAGGGGTCTAGCCTCAGTCTCTCCCTTTTTCCCCCTAACTCTCACTCTCCTTCAATGTATTAACAGTAGCATCTCTCAAATATTCCCCCTTCTCTGGTACAGGCTTCTCTCCTCACTCTTAGACTATTGCAATAGCCTGCTGGTGGTCTGCCTGTCATAAGCCTCATCCCATTCCAGTCCATCTTTTATTCAGCCACAGAAGTGATTTTCTTTTCTTTTCTTTTTTTGTGAGACAATTGGGGTTAAGTGACTTGCCCAGAGTCACACAGCTAGTGAGTGTTGTGTGTCTGAGGCAGGATTTGAACTCAGGTCCTCCTGTCAGGGCCAGTGTTCTATCCACTGTGCCACCTAGCTGCCCCTTACAATTATCTTTTGAGGAAGCTAGATGCCCCACAGCAGATAGAGTGCCAGGCCTGTAGTCAGGAAGATGAGTTCAAATCTGGCTTCACATACTTACTAGCTGTGTGACTCTGGGCAAATAACTTACTTGCTTCAGTTTCCTCACTCCTGTGGAGCAGACAGTAGGCTGGGGTGACTGGGAGGTAACAGAGAGAGGGTCTAGACAGAATCAAGGAGTAAGGATCTAGGGTGGGGCCAGGTGCAGACAATGAGGGCCGCAAGGAAAGGGCAATTGAAAGGATTAACTGGGAAGGGCCGGGTGCCCTCGGCAAACGCCAGGGACCTGGCCCACATGGGAAAGATTAGTTTTAGAAAACGTTAGAAAAAGGAAGGAGAGCCATAGAAAGGCAGAGACAACTAATAAGCCTTGACTGGGAAGAAGGGTGTATTTGAGTGATGATTTAGGAGGCCAGGCTTAAAATTTCTTCTAGTTGTCTATATTTATTTTTGGAGGAGGGAAAGAAAAGGAGAAAGAACACTCTGACTACCAACTATCATGAAGGATTAGGAGAGTAGGGATCTGGAATCTGGAAGGAATAGACAGTCAGTGAATAAGCATTTATTAAGCACCTACAATGTGCAAGGCATTGTGCTAAGTGCAATACAAAGAAAGGCAAAAGACATTCCTACCCTTGAGGACCTCACAATCTAATGAGGTAGACAACATGCAAACAACTTTGTATCAACAAGTTATATACAGGATAAATGAAAGGGCAGCTAGGTCTTGGAATGGACAGAGTGCAGCTCAGACACTTACTAGCTGTATGACCCTAGGCAAGTCACTTAACCCTATTTGCCTCAGTTTCTTCTTCTGTAAAATGAGCTAGAAAAGGAAATGGTAAACTATTCCAGCATCTTTCCCAAGAAAACCCCAAATGGGGTCAGGAAGTGTTGGACACTACTGAACAGCAATGAACAACAACAAATAAGAAAGACTGGGAAAGGCTTCCTATAGAAGGTGGGATTTTAGTTGGGATTTGAAGGAAGCCAGGAAAACCAGTGATGGAGATGAGGAAAGACAGCATTTTAGGCATGAGGGAGAGCCGGAGAAAATGCCCAGAGCTGAGAGATTAAATAGATTGTTTGAGAAAAGGCAAGGAGACCAGTGTCACTGGATCAAAGAGTACGTGGGGAGAGTGTAAAGTTTAAGAAGACTGGAAAGGTAGGGAGTGGAGGGCAAGGTTATGAAGGTTTTTGAACACTGACCAGAGGATTTTGTATTCTATCCTGGAGGTGATAGAAAGCCACTCGAATTTGTTGAGTAGGAGGGTAATATGGTCGGACTTGCTCTTTAAGAAAATCATTTTGGAGGGCAGGTAGGTGGCGCAGTGGATGGAGCACCAGCCCTAAAGTCTGGAGGACCCGAGTTCAAATCCGGCCTCAGACCAAACACTTGACACTTACTAGCTGTGTGACCCTGGGCAAGTCACTTAACCCCAATTGCCTAAAAAAAAAAAAATCACTTCGAATGGGGCAGGTAGGAGACTAGGTAGTTAGGTGGAAGCCTTGTACTACTAACTTTAATCTAATTATCAGCTACTTTTCCCCTAAGAGGGAATGTAGTTGTGAGCTCTGGCCCAAACTACCCCCTGGCTATCACCATCTGCATTTCTCTCAATTGTTCATTGTTGTTGTGGTTTGCTAGCCCTTCTGGAAGAGTACTGGGACATCTGGGAGTTGAAGTCAAAACATGCACATGAATTGGATTTAAGTGAGGAAGGTTGTGCAAAGTCACCAGCCTCACTTTCTCCACTAGAGCCATCTGGGTCCAGCGGCAAGATATAGATCAGGACGACTGGATGCAGTGGGAGACCAAGGCCTTTTTAAGCTAAAGTCTTTCTTAGGCCTTAGTTTGACTCGGTTGTTCACATCAAGCTGAAAAGCAATGCTTGATGTCAGCTTACTCTCTGAGGTTTCATATTTATTTGGCTGGGTAAACAAGCCTCTGAGATGAATTCCCTAAGACTGGCTGCTGGGGAGACGAGCTAGAATAAGAGCAATGCCTTGGGGAACAGAAGCTCAGAATTCCTTTCTGTGAAGTCCATTGCAAGGTGTAGGTTCAGAAAGCTAAGTGAGCAGGAAGCCTTCAACATGGTCTTTTCTCTAAAGCACCCAGGTATAAAGGGAGCAGAATAACACCTGGTAGTACCCATGATAAATCAGAATTGTAGAACCTCAGGAGTTGGCATCCTCATCTATCTTCTGGCTAGTCACTCTCCTCAGCCTGGGGGTGACCTCAACTCCAGTCCCAAAGCAGTACCTTGCGTGTGCATGGACTGTGAGATAAGGGAGTGAAACTGCCAGATTATTTCCTGGGGGTGGTGGGGGTGGGGGTGGGGAGTGAATAGTTCTGGCAGCTAAGGTTTAGTGCTGATAGGAAGGACAAGCCAACTGTGCTCTTAACTCTGCAGACTGGCGACACTCATCCAGACCAGAGTATAACCTGTGGCTCCCCTCCTACCCACATACACTTTGAGGTAGTAGACAGGAGAGTGGAAAGGTGGGTCAGGGACCCATTAATATCTTTCTTAAAGGTTCTGACCCAGAATCTGAATTCAGGTGAATGATGTTGGTGGTCTAGGGAAGAAACTGAGTGCCATGATCTCAGCTGGCACATGGAGGAGTCCTTATAGATATGTTTCTGAGCCTAGAGTCCTAAACAGGAAACTCATAATACTGTGCAGGCAGGCCCCAGGGAGTGGGAGAGAAAGGGGCATCTGAGTCACTTTCTGTTCCTACCAAATGAGATCCAGGGAGCATTTTGTTCTCCATAAACTAAACAGTCCTTTTCTACCCACCTTTCTTGGGGAAGAGGACCCATAAGGCAGCTCAGGGAAAACATGAAAGATGGAACAGAGCCTGAATCACCAGGTGTTCTGACTCCTAGCCCCACATCTTATCAAGATGAATGAGTTCAGGATACTCTATTTGACCTCCTTCAATCAACCAACCACCACTTGAATGGTTTCCTTAATCAGATTTCCAAATAGTAACCCTCCCATTCTATTGTCCACCTCCAGACTCTTTGCCTTCTCATTGCTTATCTCACCTCCTTACTGTTCCCATCTGACCTGAGTTACAGATGACCTCAGTCAGTTTTTCCTTTCCCAGAAAGGAGCCTAGAGGAAGATAGGACCTGCCTGCTCTTCTTCTGTCTTCTCTTTTCATAACACTCTACCTGCACTGATCAGAAATTTGGGCCAGGGTCCCCCAAAAGACCAAGGGACTAAGGATCAGCAGATTCTTTTCTCTGCCAAAGCCTCAACTTAAGAACCGGGTAAGGAAAGAGATCCTAGGCTGAGCCAATCTGGGTAAGGAGAACAGCATGAATGAGGAGGGGAAAATGGGAAAGAGAAGACATAGGGTAATGAGATTTGGGGATGAGGATGTAGGTATTTTGGGGAAAGAGAATGATACCTATCCTCTGCCCTCTCCCTCCAACTCCCCCTTGTCCTTCTTTCTCCCCCCCCCCCACAGGTAAGATGGTTCTGTCCAGGATTCTAGTCTTCCAGCTGCTTCTGGTACCAGCTCTGACCTTCCTCTCCTTTACATCTTCTGCAGTCAGAAATTTCTATGCTCTGCACATTGACTATCCTAAGGTTACATTTTCTAAGAGCTTCCATGGCTACTGCAATGGCCTGATGAGCTATGTTCGAGGAATGAAAAAGGATTGGCGATGCCCTCAGATCCACCATGTGCTTCATGCTCCCTGGACAAAAGTTAGTAGCAACTGCAAGCATTCTGACACCTTCTGTGAAGATTTCAATGAGTACTGCTCTCTCAGCCAGGATGCCTTTCCTCTTACCACCTGTAAACGCTTATCCATGGAGCCACCCAGCACCTGCCAATACAATGAAACCACTTCCACTAAACGGGTCTACCTACTTTGCTCCAGAAAATACAATGGTGAACCCATGTATATCATTGGCATCTTCCAGAGGTAGAACTGGGAGGAACCCAAGTGTAAGGGAAAACCCAGGCTCTAATCCCTGACAAAACAAGGGTCAGGCTGTTGTTCCCTGCTTGGGGAATGTAAGTCTTCCCCTGCTCTCTGCACCCTTCCTATGACAACAAAGCAGGCCAAGCCAGTTTCCAGGAAACCAGATCATTCGGCAGAGTCTCCAGGGGCCCCAGACCACTCCCCACTGTCTCTACAGGAAGAAAAGTAGATAAGTTACCCTATAGACCATCAGGAAATTGTCCATTACCCTTTGAACAAGTTCAACCGTGTGTCCCCTTGCCAATCTTCCAACCCAGAGACATAGCCCCTCACCCTTTGTAGAGTTCAGTCTTCCCCTCTCTCCCCCTCCCCACCCCCCTTGCCCTAAGAAGCTAACTCTGTCCAGTTGGCAGAGGCTGGCTGTTCACTTGGCCGGATCCTGAAAACTGGCAAGAGGCCCAGAGCCATGGCCAGCACCATGACAACAACGGGCCTGGCCTCCTTTTTCCCCAATCCCCACTTTCTGTCCCCACTACTTTTTTCTCTGCTCAGCTTCCTCCAAAGGATATCTTTGTTTGCTAGACACTGGTCATCTAGTCCCTGAAGCACTCAGTTCCCTCACACCCATCCTGGGCTCACAGAACCCCCCCCACCCCATCTTAACCATACACACCCAAATTCCCAATGTCTCCCTTTCTTTCCAGTCATTGGGGTTCCCTTTATATATAATCTGCCCTCTTTTCTCTCCATTCCACAACAGACCCTATATAGCACTTGTGAGGCTGAGTGGGATAGAGTAAGATAAAGTCTTTTAAACCATGAATCACATGCTTTATTTTATCTGGATACATCATGAAATCTAGAAAAGAGTACAAGAGAACTGAGGAGGATGGGAGTGTTGGGGTACCTACAGATCTGGGAGCCTCTGGAGCTTCATATTCAATAAATTCGATAGCCTCTTTTCCTTCCTCCCTAGACCCTCCTTTTTTCTTTCAACTAGGTCTCCTCTTCAATCTCTCTCCTCTTTTTTCTGCCTTAGGATTCTTTCTTTCCCTTCAGAATGCCCCTCAAATAATCTCTCTCCTCCACTGCCTCCAGTGGCTCTGTGGATAGTGGGGCAGAGAGTGGAGAAGGGAAAGGAAGGCGAAGCTAATAGTATTATCATGGGCAATTAACTTAATTTCTCTGAGCCTCAGTTTTCTCATCTGAAAAATGATATAACTCCTTCAGCATCCAACACACAAGACAATTTCTAAAGAGAGAATACACACACACACATATAACACACACACACATATATATGTATATATATATACACATATATACATAGTAGACATATGAGTTTTTTGATCTGTACATAAAATTAACGTGGTAGGAATACTGTAGTGAAACATTGAGGTGGGGTGTATGTGTATATATATATATGTGTATGTGTGACCTGTTATGAAGATATTATAAAGTCCAGAGAGGGAATATTAAGGGCTTATCTTATGATGATGATAGTGGGAGTGATAAACAGGGGGTTTGAGAGATATGGTGGAGGTAGAAACAGCAGGACTTGACAATTTATTAGATATGAAGGAAGACGGAAAATCAAGTCTTGGACGCTATGCCTGGGTGCCTCATTCTGATGACTTAATTACCTTTCATCCCATCTAGGGCTGACTTTTCAAACTGCAACCAGTGGAAACAGGTGAGATCTAATGAATTAATCAATCAACCAGTATTTATTAAAGTTCTATTATATGCCAGGCACACATAGGTCACATTTATATGGTGCTTTATGGGCATAAAACACGTTACACACATTATTTCATTTGATTTTCATAGCAATCTTGTGAAGGGCACTGGATCTGCAATTTCATTGGTATAGAGAGACTCCAGATGAGGAATTTTCTTCTACTAATTTAGGTTGCTATATTCTTTAACTTAAGGGTCCTTGATTTGTCTAGAACAGTGAGAAGTTGTGAGTGGGGTCATAGCCAGTATGTGTTGGAGGAAGAATCTGGCATCGGATCTCTGTGGCTCCTTCTATGCCAGCTTTCTATACACTACTCCACGGTTGTAGTATTATTTGTACCATTTTACTGAGAGGAAATTTGAGGCCCAGAAAGGTTGCTACTTGTTCAAAGTCCAAAGGAGTTTGAGGATAGGACTAGAACCCAAGTCTTCTTGCTCCAAGTGTAATGAGGGCATCCCTTGGAAATACATGGAGTTGCCTTTCCTTATTCTCGATGATGACATATACTGACTTAACCCATGGGTGTGTTGGAGATGGCTCAACCATGCATGGGATTGAGTGCTGAAGTATGTGGGCACTCTGACATGACAAAGCAATCCCCTTGTTGACTGATTAGACAAAGGAATCAATGATAGGCTACCATCTCACTCCTTTGTTTCGACACTCTCATGTGGCATATACTGCTTTCTTTCACTAAAATCTCCTGATGGCAAAGGGTCTAGAGGTCCAGAAGTACTTGGCTCAATGAGTGGAGACGACTGGGGGCAAAGGAAACTTCTAGATAGAAGACAACCCAAGTCCTTGGCCTGGTTTGTCAAAAAACATGGACTCTGAGGGAGACAGCAAAGGGCTAATTACATAAAATGCCTAATCAGCAGTCCTGCAAACTGTTCTGTGTTCTGATGGGAATTAAGTATCAGTCTCTAGAGAGACTGTAATAGTAGTTATTGGGTATTAATGACTTAAGTGGTATGAATGCATGCTGTGAGATTTTTGCATCTTTTAGCAAAATTTCTATGTAAAGAAAGTACATGTCCCATACCTAATTCACACTGTACATCTTCCCCTTAAAGACCCTAGACAAAAGCTAAAATCTAAGTTTTAAATAATTTGCCCTCGGTGTATTAGGATGAGTATTTAATGAGCTCAAGAGAATAAGAAAAGGGAGCATAGCCCCCTCTCATTAGAAACTAGGATCCCCTAGGACTGAACTTGGTATAGAGGCTACATGCATGTGTCCAGACCAAAGGGACCCCTTAGGGAAAAAGGAGTAGGTGTAGCACCCTAATCCCTTGGACCCAACTGTGGTATCTTCTTAGATAAGTCCACTGTTCTTTTACTAATGGTGGGATCCTCTGTCTTAAATGCACAGTGTTCCCTAACTGGGGGTAGGACATCACATCAATATAATTTGTCTGTGAAAAAAAATCTGGCCTCTGGATGAATTTGGAGGTGATGAATTAGTGTTCGGTTGCATTAACATTTTAATGAATGGAACAAAAGTGTAGTAGAATCTGCTTTGGTGCCAGGAGAGAAAAGGTTCAAATCTCAACTCCACTGCTTACCAGCTGTGTGGCCTTATATTTAATCTTAGTATGATATACTTATTGAAGGTAATGGTGCTTCATCTCCTAACCATCACCACAAGCGAAGAACTCATGAGGTGATCAATGATCATTGGGAATGTGTGGGTGAAGTTCCAGAGTTCACTACAGACTGAAGTCTTCCTGGTTAGCTGGGAGTATGTATAGCATGGATTTAAAAAAAAACAAAACCTGTTGGGGGTTGGGGAGAAACAGGTACTTTGGCCTGGGAAACAGAAACGGCTATTCTAGGTGGAGAAGGACCAGGAAAAACATACATTTGGGTCAAAGTGAAGGTGTGTTTCTGATTAAATCATGACAAACAGCCATGAGGCCTCAGATAGGCCCAACCCACTGGGGGATTTTGGGAGGACTACCCAATTTACAACTAGTCATAAACAGGTATAGAAAACATTTCACATTCCATCTAACTGTCTACCTAGACCAACTTGACACCTGCTTGCTGCTGCTTCACTTTTCCCCACTTGAAGTAGCAGCTCTGAACCTTAGACTTCCAGAATCCCTGTCTCCTATATCTAATCCACCCCTTCCTCCCCCCCTCCCCCGGATTTTAACCTGGTTAAATTTGAGTGAAAAGTAGAAATTGGAGATGGGCATAAGTGAGGTGGCAGGCAGATGGCGAGATAGCCTAGATGGATAGCTTGATGGTTGGCTTCCCAACCATCTGGATGGGTGACCAAATGTGAACTATCTCATACTGCCCAATCTATCTACTACCGGGGCCCAGACTCTAGACCACACCTTTACCTTCACATCCTACCCAACCGCCAAGCCATATATCCAGGCTATCTTGCCATCTCACTGCTACCTCACTTCTTCCCATCTCTAATTTCTACTTTTTGCTCAAATCAATAGTGCTATTGTTTCTGGAAAGGACATTGTTCTATACATTAACTCACCATCTTTGTGACTCTCTAAGATAAAAATACGTGTTATCTTCACCTATTAAAATATAAGCTCCTTGAGAACAGGGACTGACTTTTTGTATTTGTGTCTTCAGCGCTTAGCAAATAGCCAGGCAAATAAGTACCTACTAAATGCTTATTCATTCATCCACTCAAATAAATCCTGGGAAATACACTTAGATACTTAGGAGAGTGTAGGTAGGAAGTAGGATGAGTAATAATATAAAAGAAGGAGGTCAAGCTCTGAGCTGTTAAATATCTAAGAGCAGTAGTTAAAACTTGGGGTATAAAGTGAGTGACCAGAGTAGGACACTGAGTTTTCAGTCTCCAAAGAGTTCAGTAATGAGGTAACAGCTCTGGATGGATGTTTTCCCATTGAGGTGGACTAAGGAGAGACTCATATCCTGGAAAAGTGCAAGTCTTTGATTGGGTTGTCACCTTTTTGTCACACACCTCCAATCTTAGAACTAGCTCAAAGGCAGATCAGGCTGGCCAGGTCTAACCTTACCTGGTCTCTTCCTTAGCCGAAGGCTCAACACAAAAGACACTCCCCACTCTGTCCCCCTCCCCTTTCCTTTTATCCCTTGACGTTCTGAGCAGAGGAAAGAGGTGATAAATCTATTCATAGTGAAGATTAAGCTGGCCTAAGTGGGTTGTTGTTTGTCCTTTGTTCTCAAAGGGGACCATGACATCAGGGAGGTGATGCTACCACAAACAAGTGAATTGGATTTAAGTGAGGGAGGGCTGTGCAAAGTCACTAACCTCACTTTGTACTCCTGAGCCTTCTGGGTCCAGTGGCAAGATACAGATCAGGATGACTGGAGAGGGCCCTGGATGCAGTGTGAGGCCACGGCCTTTTTAAGCTAAGGTCTTTCCCAGGTCTCAGTTTGACTGAGGCAACACTCATTCAGTGATTAAGACTAGGTAAGGGAAAAAAAAAAAAAGAAAATCCTACACCCTCCAGTTCTAAGCGTGTTTCCCTGGATTTATTTGAATGCTGAATGAATGGATGGATGAATGAATGAATAAGCATTTATTAGACCTAAGTGGGAAGACAGATTAAAGAGGCTGGAAGTGGGGAGACTGGGTTGATTATTGCAATAGCAAATTGGGAGGTAGAGAGCCTTACCAGTGGTGGTGGCAGTGAGAATTTAGAGGTTTTTTTTAGAGATGTTTGAGCCAGAACTAATAGGATAGGTGAGGGAGAGAGAAAGGAGTCAAAGACAGCAAATACATATTTAGAGTATGAGTGGCACCGAAAATAGGGAATTGGGTGAAGTAGGTTTCTTTAATATCTAACAGGTCTTTATCCTAGAGCTCTCGGGATGGCAACCACTCTCTACCAAATCAATTTAACAAACATCTATTAAGACCTACTATGTGCAAGGCACTATTTGACTATTCTCAGTCTTGGCCTGTCCTTATTCTTTCCAAGGGGAATAGACATGCAGCAGTGAAGGTCAGAGACTCCTAGCTCCTTGGTGGGGATGAGGGGGTAGGTGTATCATGATAAAAATGATTGCATTCACAGCTGGCTTTTCTTCCATATCCTCTGTATCTGAGTTCCAAAGACTATATAAATGAGAGATTTCTGGTTTAGGGCCAGAGATTAGGTTGGGAAGGAACAGGGGAGAAATTTAATGGATGTTGCTCCCTTATTACCCTGTGAGGCGGAGTCAGAAGGGTAGTCTAGACCGGGGTGGGGAATCTTTGACATCAAGGCCACATGTGGCCCTCTGACCAGGGGTAAGGAACCTGTAGCCTCAATGCCACATGTGGCCTTCTAGGTCCTTGGGTGTGGCCTTTTGAAGGAGTCTAAGTTTTATTGAAGAAATCCTCTTATTAAGGGATATTGAATTCAGTCAAAGGGCTGTGCTTGAGGACCTAGAGGGCCACATGTGGCCTTGATGTCAAAGATTCCCCATCCCTGGTCTAGACTATCTTTACAGAGAACCTTCCCTCACTCCACCCCTTTTACCCCCAATATGGATGAAGCAGCCTGCCTCTTGGCATTGACAGCAGAAGGCAATGCGTATTGGCTGCTGCACACACAGATGTTTATTGTCTCTCCGGTGGTGATGGAGTAAGAGCTAAGGAGATGAAGATGAAGATGGAGAGGAGGAAGTAGGGAGGCTCATTCTCTCCCTATTCCCCATTCCCTATAAAGGGCAAACCAGGCTTCTATTTGTTCTTCTGGTCATAGGTGCCAGCGTCTTTGTAACCACTCACATAGCCAGTGTTTTCTTTTGTGTCATCCCGTCCTGCTTTGCCCTTCCCTTTACCACTTTCATCAAAACGCTCCTTGTGGGAGCCTGTATACTTGCTGGTGTCTGTCAAACGGTCCACACCGCCCACTGCCACTGCTTTCTGTAAAATCATAGAAGCCCACCCAAGGGCAAAGTTAGAACTGGGAGACTTCTTTATACTCAATTCCATCCCCTACCCTTCTCCTCCCCAACATACATAAGTACACACGAGCACACAGAGTCCCAGACCCATCGCCCATCATCATTCTCTCTCTCACCCCCCTCTCCTTTCCACCCCCCCCCCAAGACATCATCATTTTCTGTATCATTGTATAAGGGGATCACCACTAGGCTGAAGTCCCTTAGAAGAATCTTCTGCAGCGACTCCTACCCAAGGAGCCCTTCCAGTCAGCCCCCACTCCCACCTCTTTCCTAAGTCACCCTTGGAAATGTGCAAGAAGACCCTCTTCCTGAGGAGGGACTGCTGAAACAGAGGGTGAGAAGAGCTAAGGTCACACAGGATAGAAAGGAGAGGAAAGGGAAGCCAAGATAAGAACAAAGACAGGGAGGTTAGAGTGTGAAAAGTTAGAGTGAGATGGTGAGGGGATTGGAGATGACATAAAATGATATAAAAGGATTAGATGAAGGACCTGGGGATGTTAAGCCTGAAGAAAAGACTGGGGTGGGACAGGACAAGGGACGTAAGGATAACCATGTTCAGGTAGTTGAGAGATGATCTTATGGAAGACAGATTATTATTACTATTGTTATTATTATTTTACTTTAGGAAAAATGAGTTGTGGCTGAAAGTTGCTGAGAAGCAGAATTTGTCTTCATTTGATTCTGTGAAAGTGTGCCATAGGCATGAGTACAGTACATGTACAAAGTGTAACAAGGCATACCTTAATGTCTCAGAAAAAAGCCTGGCATTTTGGGTCTCATTTTTAAAGCTTAAGTATTTAGGTAAAGTTTAGTTATTCATTTAAAAAAATTTAGTTAGGTTTCAGTTCTATAGCTTGATGAATTAAATCAATGCCCTTCATATAAATGAGTGTGCAATAAATGTTAGCCTTAAAAAGACGCACAATTCCCTGGGTGCACGTTGTAAAAAAATGGGCTGCACAGGTCTCTGAAGCCGGTTCTCTCTCATTGGGGATCTCCATGTAGAGGTGTGAATAATAACTGTGCGGCAGCTAGGTGGCACAGTGGATAGAGCACTGGCTCTGAAGTCAGGAGGATCTGAGTTCAAATCCAGCCTCAGACCAAACACTTGACACTTACTAGCTGTGTGACCCTGGGCAAGTCACTTAACACCCCCTCAAAAAAAATAATGACTGGTGGAGATTTTTGTAGAGGAATGTTCTGGAATGGGTTTGATTATATTGCCCTCTGAGGATCCGACCCTCTCTCAGATTCGGATTACCATGAAGAGTCCTGTATTCAGGGGCCTTTGTTTGAGAAGACAGTTCATATGATGCCAAGGGCTGCAGTGAATTTTTTGTTTGTCCTGAGATCAAATCGATAATGTCATCTTGTTGTTGCCTTAATCTCCTGGAGAGGAAGGTGGCCGCCCTCTCAACAACCTTATTCCTATGATCTTTTGGGGGAACAACTGCTTCGTGAGGAGAAAACACTTAGAATACCTGCGATTTAGTCCCAGACTCTGGCACCATCTAGCTGCTTGACTTTGGATGAATCACCTCAATTTGGTTCAACAAACACTCAATAAGTTCCTACTACTTTGTAAGACCTCTAAGACAGAGGAAGCTTAGTGGATAGAGAGTGGACCTCAGAGTTGGGAAGACCTGGGTTCAAACTCCAATTCTGACACATACTGGCTCTGTGATTGGGCAATTCACTTAACCTCTCAGTGGGCTTGGCAGCCCTTTAAGCTCTCTACAAAGTGCCAAACTATTTCGGTGGAAGAAAGAGGGAGTATCTTCACCTGAGATTTCTCTCTAGCAAAGATGTCACAGGTCCATCCAGTTTCTAGCCCAATGTTCAAGAGACTGTTAGCTACTGAAAGTTGCAAAGACAAAAACAAAAGCCTATCCTTGAGGAGTTTACAATCCATTGGACTGGCCCAATCAATTAAGGTTTCCATCTGATGATTTCTAAGGGCTTTTCAGTTTTAATAGTCTATTATTAATTCATGCATATACTTGGATTAACTCCTTGATTCTTGGTGCTTTTATAGCTACTCTCTCTTTATAGGATTCGCAGTGGTTGTTGCAGGAGTCATGGTTAGTAGTGGCCAGGTCTGACAAACATTAGGGGTCAGAGATCTGAAGAATGTTAAGGGTTAGGTTTTTGAAGGAAGATGAGTTAGCAAAGGAGAAAACTTACTAGTAAGTCCTTACTAATAGGTCCTTCACTTAGGTGCAAAAACTCAGCTGCATAAATAAGTATTGAATGATGGGTATGTGGCTAGAAAGCATTTCATACAGACAAGACCTAGGGATGGCTGAACAAGTTAGGATATATGAATGTGATGGAATACTATTGTACTATAAGAAAAGATGAAGGGAATGGTTTTAGAAAAACCTGAGAAGACTTGTGTGAACTGATGTTGAGTGAAGTGAACAGAACCATGAGAACAATTTGCACAATAACAATGATATTGTAAAGAAAAATAACTTTGAAAAACTGAGGAACTCTAAACAACACAAGGACCAACTATAATTCCAGAGGACTCAATGAAAAATGCTACCCACCTGTAGATAGGGAGGTAATGGATGCCAGTATGCAGATTGAGGTGTGTGTGTATGCACACACACACACACACACACACACCTGTGTATATGTACATACATACTCACTATGACATGGCTAATGTGGGAATTTGTTTTTTTGCCTGACTATACATGTTTGTAATAGATTTGTTTGTTTTTCTTGTTTTCTCAATGGAGAGTGGGAAGAAGAGGATTTGGAGTTGAAAATAAAAGTGAATTAAAAAAAGATCTGGAGATACTAGTAGTCTGCAAACCCAAGTGGACTACAGCCCTGTGATAAGGCAGCCAAAAGAAGTGTGTGATCTGAGGCTACATAATTTGAAGAATAGTGTTCAGACTGAGGGAAGTGAGAGCTTCTGTACTTTGCCTTGGATTGATCATAATTGGAGCATTCCATCCAATTATGGACGCCAGAAGCTAAAGGGCAAAGGACTAGAAACTGCCTTGAAAGTGTTGGTTGAAGGAACTGGAGAGGTTTAGCCTGGAGAAGAGAAGAGGAGGATTATTGTGTAGAAGCAGGAGGGCCAAATTAGGAACTATGGGTAGGAACAGCAAACATGGGAGCAGATCTGAGTCAAGTGACACTTCTTAATAAACAGAGTTGTCTGAACTGGAAGGGGTTTCTTAGGTAGAGCCGGGGCTGGGAAGGGGAGGTGGTAGGTTGTGAATGGGTTCCTGGGGTCTCTTCCCACTCTGAGTTTCTAGGATTCTAGGCTAGGGGTTCAGGGGATTGAGGCAGGATTGAGGTCAAGATCAAGGTCACTCACAGTCACTCCTGAAGCAACTGGACTCTTGTCCTTCATGAGAGCAAACATAAGCTCCAATATCTCGTCTGACTTTTTTTCCCTGAATTTCTTTTGGCCCAGCTCCCTCAATGCCATCTGGAACTGATTCCAATTGATGGTTCGGGCATTCCTTTCCCTGGTAGGATAGATAGATACTTTGACTCAGTCTTGTTGTGACATCGGCACTCTTCTCTATTCAACTCCCAACCCCCGGACCCCTTGAGCTCATCCCGCCTCCAAGTTCCATCATCCCTGCCGCAGAATGAGCTTTCCTAGATCTAGCAACCCAAACTAGAGCTGCTCTAATACCCTTGCCTAGTTGCCTGTATGGGGATAATCTAATAGTCCTGGATTAGAGGAGGGGAAAATCTGAATTCAAAGCTTCAATGCTTCATTATTCATTCATTCATTCATTCAAGACGAATTTAAATATTAAGCACATGCCAAGCACTGTACTAGACCTTAGAGACACAAAAAGTGATTATGTAGCTCAGGCTTTATGGGGATAATCTAATAGTCCAGGTTTAAGGGAGGTGGAAATCTGAATTCAAAGCCTCACTGCCTCTTCATTCATTCAACAAGCATTTAAATGTTAAGCACATGCCAGGCACACACACACACACACACACACACACACACACACACACGACTCACTTCTTTATCTCCTCATCCCATGACATCCCAATGGCTCCCTAAATTTGTCACTCTTTTTATTACATAGAAGCTATTTCTTTCACCTCCTCCTCCATTTCCCATCCCCCCTCCCTCATAATCTAGATTCCACTGGCCTCCTCACTTTACTTTGCTGAATACAATATCCACATCAGTGTTGTTGACCGTCTTGCCATCTATGATGCCACAATCCTTACACAACTTGGTAAAGTTCTTATTGTTGATGCTACTGCCACTGGAAGAAGAATCTCCGAAGGCAGCAAAAAGGTGAAAGGTTTTCTCCGCTTCTGATTCCATTGGTCAACTGGAGGTTAGGGAGGGGAGAGACAGGGAAAATGGCAGGGAGGGAGAATGAGAAGGGAAGAGGGAGGGGAAGGGGGAGGGGGAGGCCTAGAGAGAGATGGAAATGGGATGAGGATCAAAGCAGAGGCAGTGGAGAGACCAAAAGCCTCTCTTCACTGTCCCTCTCCAATCATTCTTTGTCCCACTCCCAATTTATCCCCTTCGAATCAGACACTAACTAACCCTCTTCCCTTTTTTGACTTCCCACCTAAGAGGGACCAAATGGTGCCTGGTCCTGCCTGGCTTTTAGCTCTTTGGTGTAAGTATGTTGGGGGAGGGAAAAAATGTGGTTTTATGGAGATGGTATAGACTATGGGCAACTGTGGACATGAGGTGGTTTTTCTGTGATCTCATCATTGTTTCTATGACATCAATATGGTAACACCCCAGAATTCAGTCTTTGGGATGGCTGAGTGGCTACACATCACCTTCCTGTTCCCCAGGATCACCCTTCCCCCACACCTTGTCCTTCCTGACCTGGCCTGCCTCTCCACTGATGTTCACAGTAACCAAACTGTCCTCATCTTGCCAAGCCAGGCTGCTAACCCTCTGGACCCTGGTCTAACTGTCCACATGTCCTTCCCTTCTGACAAGAGACTAGGGAAAGGAGAGATAAGGACAGGTCTATACCAGGACAACTTCTCCCTTCTTTCTAAATTGTACAGCTAAGCAAAGAGCTTGGGGAGACCAATTTTGATTTGGGAGGGGGGGTGTCACAGTTCAATTAATTGGCTTCTAAAGTTGAATCAGAACTGGAGCTGAGGTTAGGGTAAATTCCAATCTCTTGGACTAATTCACATAAGCCAGTGGACTTCCTCAGGGATTTTTCTCTAGTCTTGTTTCTGGGCAAAAATCTTATGGATGCAGGGATTTCAGGAAGTCTAGAATGGAAAGATTGAGATAATATATTTTGTCCCCCTCACTCCCATAGTTCAAATCCAGCCTCAAACACTTAATAGCTGTGTGACCCTGAGCAAGTCACTTAACACCTATTTGCTTCAGTTCCTTTATGCGCCAAGGGAAGCAAAATGCCTACTCCAAAGGGGACTGTGCATATCCCCATGGCTCTGCATACCAAAGGGGCTAAAGGGAGAAAGGGGGAGGAAGGAGGAAGGAAGTTTTGCTTCCAGGGACTCTGAATCTAGGTCCCTGTGCCACATACAGAGTAGCTTCTGAGTATTCCTCATACCCTACCATTTTGAGATGAAGCTCCAGGATGGCTGAAGAATAGGAGTTCAGCCTAGCCCTAAGGGATCTAAAGACCTTAACACCACCTTTTTTCTTTGTTTATTGGTGTCTCCCAGTTCTTAGGATGGACAGCTGAGAGTTAGAAGTGAGGTCCTGTATATGCAGTTTTGAGATTTCGCAGTCACTAGCCACTCCTCTTCATTCTCCATGTCCCATCAGTTGCCAAGCATTGTGGATTTTCCATCCATTTCTATTGGAAATTCTAAAGAAATATCTATTTCCTTTTCACCATTCACTGTCTATCCTGTAGCTCAGGCCCTCATCTCCTTCTCACCTAGACTGTTGTAAAAACATCCTAACTGGTGTCTTTACTTCCAGCCTATCTTTTTCTAATCTACTGTCCACGCAGGGGCCAAAATGATATTCCTAAAGCGTGGGACTGACCATGGCATCCATGTCATTCTCCTACTAAATGACCTTCAATGGCTTCCAATTGCTTCTAGAATAAAATACAAAATCCTCAGCCTTGCATTTAGGACCCTTCACAATCTGGCTTCCACTTAGTTTTCCAGTCTCTGTTCTGGTCATGCTGGCTATCTGCACACATGATGTGGCATCTTCTGAGTCCATCTTCAACACAGAATTTCTGGCTCCCTTCAAAGTTCAACTGAGGTACCACCTCCTACATGAAGCCCTTCCCCATGCCCTTTTGTTAGTGACCTCTCCCTCTTGACATGATTTTTCTGTTGAGGTCAGGGAGGGTTTCATTTTGTCTTGGTAATCAGGGGCTCAATAATAATAATAATAATAGCTAACATTTTTATAGTACCTATGATGTGCCAGTCACGGTGCTAAGAACTTTTTACAATTACCTTTTTTTTTGGTGAGGCAATTGGGGTAAAATGACTTGCCCAGAGTCACACAGCTAGTGAGTGTTATGTGTCTGAGGCCAGCTTTGAACTCAGGTCCTCCGGACTCCAGGGCCAGTACTCTATCCTCTGTGCCACCTAGCTGCCCCTTACAATTATCTTTTGAGGAAGTTGGATGCCACACAGCAGATAGAGTGCCAGGCCTGTAGTCAGGAAGATGAGTTCAAATCTGGCCTCACATACTTACTAGCTATGTGACTCCTTCAGCTTCTAGCCTAGAATCCTAGAAACTCAGAGTGGGAAGAGACCCCAGGAACCCATTCACAAGTAAGCAAATAACTTACTTGCTTCAGCTTCCTCACTTGTAAAATAAATTGTAAGGATCAATTGAAAAAATACTTGTAAAGTACTTGGCATAGGGCCTATCACATAGGAAGCACTATATAAATGTTAGCTATTATTATTATTATTTTAATCCTCACAACTACTCCCTGACATAGGAGTTACTGTTATCCTCATTTTATAGCTGAGGAAAAAACTGAGGTTAAGTGACATGTCCAGTCACAGAGCTAGTGAGTATATGAGGCCAAATTTGAACTCGGGTCTTCCTGACTCCAGGCCCAGTGCTCAATCTACTGTGCTACCAAAATACCCCAATGGGCTTCAGTTCATTTGCATAAGACTCTCTTAATTGGTGGAGCTTGATTACTCAATGGTTCATGACTGCCAGTGAAGAGTGAAGAGTTATCATAGCCAGGAAAAACAAGATCTTTTCTAAACTTTTGGGGTGTATTCAGTAAGTGATCCACCAATGAGAAGAATCTGGTGCAAATGGACTTGAGCCCTGGGTTATATATATTTTTTGCCCAGTACTAATCAGTTACTTAGGGGTAGCTAGATGGTGTAGTGGATAGGGCGCCAGTCCTGGAGTCAGGAAGACTTATCTGTCCTTAACACTTCAAATCTAGCCTCAGATACTTACTAGGTGTGTGACCCTAGGCAAGTCACTTCACCCTGTTTGCCTCAGGTTCCTCATCTGTAAAATGAGCTGGAGAAGGAAACGGCAAACTACTCCAGCATCTTTGCCAAGAAAACCCCAAATGGGGTCATGAAGAGTCAGACAAGAATGAAAATGACTGAACAACAACCAGTTACTTGCACAAAATTAGCTCCAAAATGCTTCCAATTCAGTACCCTAGATAGTAGGATCTTAGTAAATGTATATTAAATTGAGATAAGCTTAGATTGTTGAATTTATGGCTAAAGGGGAGGACCTAAATGAGGGGTATCCTTGATTCAGCTGTTCCCTCCCTAGCAACAGCTTGCCTCAGACATGGGATCCTATCTCAAGAGAACAGTTGTCTTTTCCTTCAAGGTGAGGACCCCAGTTTCTGGGAACCATCTCAAATCTCTAGTGGAAATTTCCTGCTCATCTCTCCCCTCTCTTGCCTAGGCCCCTTATCAGGTTCTCCCTGAGTCATTCTGACCCAGAGACGAATTTAGATGTTGGAACTCCCAGGTCACCTCTCCTTCCCCGGTTCCCCTTCCCTGCCCCCCCAACCCCCCTACGAGTATTGCAGACCAGGGAGTACTTTCCAACCTAATTATTGAGAACTTCCCCCCCCCCAACATGATAGCAGTTAGATTAGTAAACAGGTTGGGAAAATACATAATGATTTTAAAAGCTAGTATGGTTTCAATAATACTTTAGAAATGAATTTGTATTTTATTAATTACAGTAGAATCTTTAGTCAAGGGAAGGTACATTTGCTTATTTATGGATGCAGGGACTCTTTGCCATTATAATTTTAAGCTTACTGGCTGTGCACTACTACTTTAAATCTTTCAACCTAAAGAACAGACTATTGATACACACTTTTCCTAGTTCTAAGTAAAGGTTTATATTCCCTTCCCTTCCGTCTATATCGTAAGTACTGATTTCAAGCAACTTCCTGCTACTCCTAAAGAAGACCCCTCCCTCTTAGTTCCCTCCATCTCAGCATGGAGGAGGTCCACAACAAAATTCTTTCCCACTCACCTTCATGTCCACAGCTATAGTTGTAGGCCCAGCTGCCTTGACTCTCAGACTAAAATCGGGTTAAACCCTGGGTTTGGAGGGGAGAGGGGACTGGGCTGGGGGCCAGACTGCCTGGGTTCTGTGCCCAGCTCCTGAGGGATAATGATGAACAGAGTTGGGGGAAGGGCGTAGAAAAGAAGTTCTGGGGTGTTAGGAGAACTGGGTGTGTGTTTCTGATGCCTCTAGGGATGGGGGGGGAAATGGGGGCTTTGAAGTGATCCTGGCCTGATCCCTCTCTCAGAGCCTTCTCCTGCTCAGCCCCTCCTTCCGTCCTGAAGCCCCTGCCAAGTGGGGATGAAAGGGGCATTGATGTTCCTTGGGGGAGTTGGAAGGGGGGGGGGAGGCGGTAGTTCCCAGGCTTGGGGAGGGTGAGTTTGGGGGTCTGGGGAAGGGAAGGGGGTTGGTCTGTGCAGGCGTTACAGTTGGCAGCTTTAGTTCCATTGGCCATTGTTTCCAACTGGCCCAGTGCCGGGGGCCCCTAAATGGTGTCTCGGAAACCAGGCTGCATGGAGGTGGGGGTGGGCTAGGCTGGGTTGAAGAGTCCTAGGGGGAGCTCGTGGGTTGGCAGGAGATGGGTAGGCGAAGTCAAGCCCGGCCTGCCTCATGCCCGGGGCAACCCCCACCCTGCCCCAACCATAAATGAACTACACTGAGAGAGGGGAGGGCATGAGGTAACGCAGGTCCTTCAGGGATGCCCAGAAAGACAGAGAGGCAGGCAATGCAAGAGATACATACTCAGGGTCAGGAAGGGTTTGCCCTTTCTGGGTCTGTGTTGGGCTGCGTTGGTCTCTCCCATTCTTTGGGCCAGGCAAGGAGGGGTTAGCTCAGTCCTCAGCGGGGTCTCTTGGGCCCTAGCCCGGGACACTGTGTATTCCCCCCAGTCCCCACCCACGGGGTTAACCCCGCCCCCCAGCCTGTTTACCCAGGAGTCAGAGCCCCTGGGGGTCCCCAGCTTTCCCTTTCCCCCGCCCCCCTCGGGGCCATGACCCTGGAGTCCGCGTTGGCCAGTCCCCCTCTCCCCCCCTTCTCCGTTCTCTCTGCGCCCCCCCCCGCCCCCTGCTCTATTTATAGCGGCTCTCCGCGCTCCCCGCCCCCCCGGGCTTGTTTTCCAACTACTAGCTCGGGAGCAGAGTAGGCAACCGCGGGACGCAGAGAACAGAGGTACCAGGATCCCCAGGCACCCCGGGGCCGGACCTCCCGTGGCTACCCGAGGCCCCCTGACCCCCGGCCTCCCCTCCTTTCGTCTGAGCCTGATCCCCTCCTCTTCAGCCCCGGATCCCCCTCCCCTTCCTCCCCTGCTCTCCTCCCTACGGACCCTGGTGGCTTTGGGGAAAAACCCTGGAGTATTGGGGCTGGGGGCAGGGTCTTGCGAAACCCCCTCCTCGGAGAGACACGGGATGATCGTGGGAGGGGGCGGCCGGGGACAGGGCTTAGGAAAAGGGGTCTGGAGTTGGAACAGGAAAACCCGGGAGGTTGGGTCGAAGAGCAGGTGTGAGGAGAGAGGGTGGGGGCATCTCCCCCTACGACTTCGGTGGGGGACATCGCCTCCCCGGATTTAGGGAACGGCTCCCCACTTCCCCGTTCTTTCTAGATTTTTGTCGGGGGAGGGGAGAGATTAAAAGGGAGCGCCCGCCGACTCGGAAGTACTGTCCCCTTCCCGCAGCCTCGGACCCTCACTCTGGCCCCACCCCGGTGGGGGGGCACCGGACTTGGGGCAGGGTCAAGCTGGAAGGGCTTGTTTATTGGGGGGCTGGGGAGCGGGCGGGTCCTGCAGAGGCTGGGGGAGCAGTCCAGCCCCAAGCGTTTGTTGGGCGGGTCTATGGGGGCGGGGAGTTGGGGCGGGCCCGGGAGTCAAAGACGAGTGAAGGTGGAAGCGGCGGCGGCGACCGCGGCGGCAGGTAGGGGGAGGGGCGGGCGGTCGGCTCTGTCCCGGGAGTTGGAGACATCCATGCGGCCGGACCGAGGGAGGGCGAGTGTGCGCTCGGGCCCAGCGGGCTCCGAGTGAAGGTGACAGTTCGGGGCAGCGGGGCCTGCGAGCCGGGAGGGGGTGGGTGCTGAGCTGGGGTGTAGCTGCCGCTCAGTACAAAGACGGCCTTCTCCGTGCCGCGGGGCGGGTGTCAGCCTGGCTGCTGGTACCGAGCCCTGGCTGTCCACCGCGAGTAGGTGTCTTCGCCCACGTGAATGGGCAGCGTGTCCGGGCACGCGGGAGCCGGTCTCAGGTGCTAAGCTGAGGCTGGCCCCGGAGGGTGGTGGGAAGCGGGAGGATCCACTTCGCAGACCCCAGGATTGAATCTGTGTTCTAAGAGGGCCAGTGTGGGAGGAGTCCCTGGCACCCCCACTTATTTAAGTCCCTTGCTCTACTCCCCTCTCAGGGCTAACATAAATTTAAGGCTTCGAAGATAGGCTTTGGGAGTAGGGAAGAGAATGGGCTATATGTACTCTATCCCATTCCCACTCATAGGATTTTAGAGTTGGAATGGAAGGAACATCTATTTCAGACCAATCCTCTTGTTTTACAGACGGGGCAGAGGGTAGGGAATGGTTTGCCCAGGGTCTCATAGCTAATTAGTAGCAGAGCAGTGATTAGACCCCTAGCCCTTAAGAATCCAGTCCAGTGTTTAGTGCCTGGCACATAGTAGGTATTTAGTAAGTGCTCTTCCACCAGATGCCCTTGTGCCCTCTGCCCTCAAGACCTTGGACTGGTATGATACCCTCTGTTCATTACCCCCATTCCTTTTCTCAGTCCTTAAAAAAAAAATGCAGAAAAACCAAAACCAACCAAACAAAAAACCATGGTAGTCAGAATTCCTGAAGAGGAAGACTGTCTTTGGGTTTGAGACTACAGTAATTGGTTGGGGATATGTAACCTTATTGCCACCCTACAGGGTCCCTCAGAAGAAAAGTAGTCAGTAACGCTGTGATTAGTTGAGGCTTTTCCTCCCTGAAATGCCAAGGTTTTGCCCCTGGGGTCACTCACCTCTTCTCTGTGTCTCTTCAGACCCCTGGACTGAGAAGAGTGAGAACTGGTCACCCTTAACCTCACTGCATCCAACCAATAAGAATCCAGTAAGTGACCCCACCTACTGACCTATCTGTAGCTGTCCCCAACTTTGTATTTATCTCTTTCTTTTGCTGTCTACAATCCACTTAGAAGTTGAATTCAAACGAATTTATTATTCAGGGACCATTGGTAGAGGGGAGTAAAGGAAGGTGCTAAGTAGAGTTCTCCATGTCTCCCCAAAGTTCAACCTCCTTCCCTTTTCTAGTTGCTCTTGTTCTGGCCACTTAGGTTCCTTTTCCCCTTGAGCCACTGACCTTGGGGGGCTGGGAGCTGAAGGTTACAATCAGTTATGGACTTCCCTTCCTTGTATCTTGTATCTTGTATCTAGACCTTTGGACTACTTAGTTTCTTGAGCCCACCAATCCCACTCCCCTGCAGCTGGGGGCAGCCTCTGATTCAGGGTAGAGGAGGGAGGGGGTGGACCCTAAATATAGGCCCAGGAAATATGAGCTGTCCGGCTGCCCCTCCCTGGGTATTTCTGTCCTGGACAGAGGGGAGGAAAAAGAAGGCTTGGTGGTAGTAGTGTAGCTTATCTGGAGTCCTCATCCATCCATCCAAATTTCCCACCTTGTATGTCTTCGAGAAAATGTCAAATGTGGCCAGGATTGTGTGCGTGTCATATTAACGGATTTCATCCTCACATGTTCCAAGTCCCATCGCGTTGTCCCATTTTCTGAGAGGATGGTTTTGAAGGGGATGTGACAGAGAGATATTTTGTGACAGACCCAAGATGTAGGGAAAAAGCAATGTCTGAGGGGGGAGAGTTAAGTTCTCCACTCACTGCCTTCCATTTTCTCCCCTCCCCCACCCCATACCTTCTCAGGCCACCATGGCAGAGTTACAGGAGGTGAATATTACTGAGGAGAAGCCGCTGTTACCAGGACAGACTCCTGAAGCTGCTAAGGTTTCTGGATACCCACTGGTCCCCAAATTCCAGACATCAAGACCCTCCCTTGATTTTTACCCTAATTTCCTAGACTCCCTGACCTTAATCCTAACTCCTGCCCCAACTTTCTCCTCTTCTCCATCCCTGTTTCTCTCCTCCCATACATCACCGCTTGGAGTCTAGTCCCCATCCCTGTGCTGGAAGCCATCTGCCCATGCCCCTAACACCATTTCCCACACTAACCCTCATCCTCTCTGTGTGTTTCTGTCAATTCTTTCTTTTTTATCTCTTTTGTTTTTTGAGTTGGTCTTTGTCTATCCATCTTCATCTATGTCTGTCTTTCTGTCTGTGTCTCTTGCCATGCATTTCTCTGTCTGTGTCTGTGTATCTCTCTAGGAGGCTGAGTTAGCTGCCCGAATTCTCTTGGACCAAGGACAGGTAACAGCCTGGGGTAGACCTAGGGTGGGAAGGGTAGGGATCCGTTCCCCCCCTCCCTTTCCTAGTTAGAGAGAAGCTTCCATTGACTGGTTAGTCCTGATTTCTGTTTTTCTTTCTACAACACTAGGTCCCATTTTCTCCCTGTACTTTTCTCTTCCCTTAGTTTCTTGGTGTTCACTGGCTCTCTTGGTCTTTCCCTCAATCCGATTCACCCTTGTACTCATCTTCCACATTACTAAATCATCCACCTTAGCTTTCTGTGGTCTTATTGTCTTCCTGTACTCTGATCCCGCTTCTTCTTTCCTCCTTGCTCTTCTTCCCTGTACCCCAACCCTGATCTGACCATTCCCTCTTGTCTTCTGCCCTCTTACTCTAACCCCAGCCTTGACTCTGATCTCTGTTTCTCACAGACTCATTCTGTGGAGACCCCCTATGGCTCCGTCACTTTCACTGTGTATGGCACCCCCAAACCCAAGCGTCCAGCGATCTTCACCTACCATGATGTAGGACTCAATTGTAAGCAGTTCCTCTAGAATTCTTCATACATGCCCACCCTCAGCCCTCCTTTCTCCTTTTTAATAGGGCTGTATCTGATACTATTTCCAATCTAAAGCCTCTCTCTCCACTCCCACCACTCTCTTTGAAACTTCTTCCAAGTAAAGAAGAGGTGAGGGGAACAGGTAGCCCAGGATGAAGGGGTGGGAGTGAACAAACATGGCGGCATTGGGGCTATCAAGGAGAAGATCTCCCTCAGGCTGACTCTTTTCAGGGAAAATGGAGGGGGTTTGGCTCAGGGGATTTTGTCTCCCAGATTCATCCCTCTGCCTGGGGACTCTTCTCAGATAAGACTTGCTTCAAGCCCCTGTTTGATTTCGGAGACATGCAGGAAATTATCAAGAACTTTGTTCGGGTTCATGTGGAGGCCCCTGGCATGGAGGAGGGGGCACCTGTGTTCCCTTTGGGGTAAGAACCCTTTCCATTTATGATAACCAGTTATCTGCTCATGAATGAATAGGGAAGGGCAGGAGGAATCAGCAGCTGGGAGATGAGAAAGGGGAAGAGAAGACGGTCACCAGGGAACAAGAAGTGGTGGGATACTAGGGGTTTCAGAGTCTTTAATATTTCCATCTCCCTCAGGTACCAGTATCCATCTTTGGACCAGCTTGCAGACATGATCCCTGCTATCCTGCAATACTTAAAGTGAGAGGCCTGGGTATTCTTTTCATCCCCCACTAAAACAAGTATTCTCTACCTTCCACCCCCAAGTTATGATTTCTAGTCTTGGGCATTGTTTCCCTCCCACCCACATTCACACCTTACAGGTGGTTGTTATGGGAAGTGGAGGGAGATGGTTGGGGAATTAAGCTGGGTCACAGAGGGTGAAACTGAGATAGATGGGTCTGGTTGGGCAGCCTA